GTTCTTGTTGTTTTTGAGACAGGGTCTCACTCCAGTGCCCAGGCTGGAATGCAGTGGTGTGATCATGGCTCACTGCAGCCTCAACCTCCCGGGCTCAAGTGATCCTCTCACCTCAGCCTCCCTGGTAGCTGGGACTACAGGCATGCACTATCACATCTGGCTGACTTTTTGTATTTTTTTTTTATTGTAGAGACTTGGTGTGTTGCCCAGGCTGGTCTCAACTGGACTCAAGCCATCCGCCTACCATAGCCTCCCAAAGTGTTGGGATTACAGGGATGAGCCACAACACCCAGCCATTTTAACTTTTGTTTTTTAAACGGTGTTGCTCTGTCACCCAGGTTGGAGTGCAGTGGTGTGGTCTCGGCTCACTGCAACCTCCACCTCCTGGGTTCAAGTGATTCTCCTGTCTCAGCCTCCCAAGTAGCTGGGATTACAGGTGCCTACCACGACGACCAGCTGCTTTTTGTATATTTTAATAGAGTTGGGGTTTCACTGTGTTGGCCCGGCTGGTCTCAAACTCCTGACCTCGTGATCCACGTGCCTCATTTTCCCAAAATGCTGGGATTACAGATGCAAGCCACCTCGCCCAGCCTTTTATTATTTTAATTTGTTTAGACAGGGTCTCGCTTGTTGCCCAGGCTGGAGTGCAGTGGTGCAATCTTGGTTCACTGAAGCTTCCGCCTCCCAGGCTCAAGTTGTGCACCTCCACACCCAACTAATTGTTTGTATTTTATGTGGAGACGGAGTTCACCATGTTGCCTAGGCTGGGCTTGAACTCCTGGACTCAAGCAGTCTGCCCACCTCGGCCTCCTACAGTGCTGAGATGACATGTGTGAGCCACCATGCCTGGCCCGTTTGATCTGTTTTGGAGTTGACAGTTAAGTGGCATTCAGTCAGTTCACATTGTAACTGTCACTGCCATCCATCCCCAGACAACTTCGCCTTCTTGCACTGAAACTGCATGAAACACCCACTCTGCCTGTGTCTCCCAGATGTTTGTGCCTCCTGCTGGTTGTGTGCTTTCACACATCAAGAGAGGACAGTTAACATTTGAGCTAGAGCATCATTTGCTGTTGTCTGATGGATGAGATTTTTGCTTGCATAGTCCATATTTTAATATGTTATTGGGGCCCACAGGATTATTCTTGGCCATCTAAGATATCACTGACATTACTAAAACTTTATCACCTTCAACTTACTACTGTTTGTTATTTGAAATAACCAGATACACACATTGTTTCAGTAATTTTTTCAGTTGGTCATTTGCATGGTGCAGTACTATGTGAGGCCACCTCCCCTCAAATGACCCATAGATGGTAAGAGTCTGTGAACAAACATTGTCACAGAAGAGACCAACCACATGTGGACATGGAGTGAGTCTTTACAAGGTGGGGTAGTTAACCTGAACCCTAAGCTGACACAGACAGCAGAAGAAGCCACAATCCTTTAGAGAGAAAAAACTTATAAAGTATAAGTATCTTTTGTTACGAGAAGCAGAGACCATCTACAGAGGATATAATAGTATTAAAATGTGATCTCATTGTTCAGCTCCCACTTACGAGTAAGAACGTGCAATGTTTGGTTTTCTATTTCCTGTATTAGTTTGCTGAGGATGATGACTTTCAGCTTCATCCATGTCCCTGCAGTGGACGTGATCGCATACCCTTTTATAGCTGCATTGTATTCCATGATGTATATGTAGCACATTTTCTTTATTCAGTCTATCACTGATGAGCATATGAGTTGGTTCCATGTCTTTCCTATTGTGAATTGTGCTGCAAAAAAACATACATGGAGCAGATTATGCTCAGAGAAAGATGGACCTCTGAGTAAAATGGAGCTCCAAGCATGATGGAGCTTAGAGCAGATGGAGCTCTAGGTGAGATGGAGCTCAGAGCAATGTGAATCTCAGAGCAGATGTTGCACAGAGTATAAGTTGGAGCTCCAAGCATATGGTCTCAGAGCAAAAATGGAGCTCAGAGCAGATGGTGCTCAGAGCAAGAGGAGCTTAGAGTGACTGGATCTCTGAGCAAAATGGAGCTTGGAGCATATGGAGCTCTGAACAAGATAGAGCTCAGAGCAAGATGGAGCTTGGAGCAGATGGAGCTCTGAGCAAGATGGAGCTCAGAGCAGGTGGAGCTCAGAGCAGATGGAGCTCAGAGCAGATGGAGTTCTGAGTAGATTAAGCTCAGACAAGAAGGAGCTCCAAGCAAGACGGGGCTTGGAGCTGATGCTTCTCTGTGTAAGATGGAGCTAAGAGCTAGATGGAGCTTGGAGTGAAAGGAGCTCAGAGCAGATGGTGCTCTGAGCAAGACGGAGCTCAGAGTGAGTGGAGCACTGAGCAAGATGTAGCTCGGAGCAGATGGAGCTCTGAGCAGGATAGAGCTCAGAGCAGATGGAGCTCTGAGCAGATTAAGCTCGGAAAAGATGCAGCTCGATGCAAGATTGAACTTGGAGCTGATGTTTCTCTGTGTAGGATGGAGTGCAGAGGAAGATGGAGCTCTGAACAAGATGGTGCTCAGAGCAGATGGAGCTCTGATCAATAAACTGTAAGCAAGATGGAGCTTGGTGCAGATGTTTCTTGGTTTTAGGTGGAGCTCAGAGCAGATGGTGCTTACAGCAGGATGGAGCTCAGAGTGATTAGAGCTCCAAGCAAGATGGACCTTGAAGCTGAGGGAGCTTTGAGCAACATGGAACTTGGAGCAGATGTTGTTCAGAGTAAGAAGGAGTTCCAAGCAAATGGCACTCAGAGCAAGATGGAGCTTGGATAAGATGTTGTTCACAGTAAGATGGAGCTCCAAGCAGATGGTGCTTAGAGCAAGATGGAACTCTTGAGTAGATGGTGCTCAGAGCAAAATGAAGCTCGAAGTGGTTGGAGTTCTTAGCAAGATGGCGCTCCAAACAGATGGTGTTCAGAGCAAGATGGAGTTCAGAGAAGATGTTGTTCACAGTCAGATGGAGCTTCAAGCAGATGGTTCTCAGTGCAAGATGGAACTCCAGAGTAATTGGAGCTCTGAGTAAGATGGAGCATAGAGCAAATCGAACTCTGAGCAGATGGGGTTTAGAGCAGATGGTGCTCAGAGCAAGATGGAGCTCTGAGCAAATTATGTCCAGAACAAGATGGAACTCAGAGTAGACGGAGCTCTGAGCAAGATGAATCTCAAGAGTAGATGGTGCTCAGAGCAAGATGGAGCTCTGAGCATATAGTACTGACAGCAAGATGGAGCTTAGAGTGATTAGAGCTCAGAACAGATAGAGCTCACAGAAATTGCTTCTAAGCAGATGGTAATCAGAGCAATCTGGAGCTCCAAGTAGATGGTGCTCAGAGGAAGATGAACTGCAGAATGATCAGAACTCCAAGAAAAATTAAGCTCTGTGCATATGGTGCTTAAAGCTAGATAGAGGTCAGAGTGATTGGAGCTCTGGGCAAGATGGAGCTAGGAGGAGGTAGAGCTTTGAGCAAGAAGTACCTCCAAGTAAGATGGAGCTTGCAGAAGTTGTTTCCTGGTGTAAGATGGAGCTAAGAGCAAGATGGAGCTTGGAGTGATTGGAACTGCGAACATTGCTCTGAGCCATTGGAACTCTGAGCAAGATGGATCTCTGAGCAAGAAGGAGCTCTAAGCAAGATGGAACTTGGCATAGACATTGCTTGGTTTTAGATGGAGCTCAGAGTGATTAGAGCTCCAAGGAAGATGGAGCTCAGAGCAGACAGAGCTGTGAACAAAAAGGAGCTCTAAGCAAAATGGAAGTTGGAGCAGATGTTGCTTGGTGTAAGATGGAGCTGAGGGCAGATGGGACGGAGCTCAGAGAACATGCTGCTCACAGTAGTAAGGTGGAGCTATGAGCAGATAGATAGTGCTTAGAGCAAAACGGAGGTGGGAGTGACTGGAAATCTCAGCAAGGTGGACCTAGGAGAAGATGGAGCTCTGAGTAGAGGGTGCTCAGAGCAAGATGGAGTTTGGAGTGATTGGAGCTCTGAGAAAGATGGACCTTGAAGCCATTGCAACTCCAAGTAGATGAAATTCTGAGCAGATGGTGCTCAGAGCAAGATGGAGCTTGAAGTAATTGAAGTTTCAAACCAGATGGAGCTCAGATCAGCTAGACCTCTGAGCAACAAGGAACTCCAAGCAAGATGGAGCTTGGAACAGATGTTGCTGGTGTAAGATGGACCTCAGAGCAGATAGTGCTTAGAGTAAGAGGCAGCTCTGAGAGATTGGCACTCTAAACATTGCTCTGAACAATTGGAGCTCTGAGCAAGGTGCAGCTTGGAGTAGATAGAGCTCTGAGCGAAAATGAGCTGTAAGCACGATGGAGGTTGGAGGAGATGTTGCTAGGTTTTGGAGCTCAGAGCAAATGGAGCCCACAGTGATTACAGCTCCAAGCAAGGTGGAGCTCAGAGCACATGCTGCTCAGAGTAAGATGAGCTCCGACCAGATGGTGCTCAGAGCAAAATGGAGCTGGGAGTGATTGGAGCTCCCTGCATGATGGGGCATAGAATGATTAGAACTCCCAGCAAGATGGAGCTCAGAGTAAATGAATCTCTGACTAGATGAAGCTCTGAGTAAGATAAATGTCTATGAAGATGGTGTTCAGAGAAAGATAGTGCTTGGAGTGATTGGAGCTCTGAGCAAGATGGAACTTGGAGCACGTGGATCTCGAGATAAATAGAGCTTGAAGCAAGAAGGACCTCCAAGCAAGATGGAGCTTGTAGCAGATGTTGCTCAGTGTAAGACGGAACTCAGAAAAGATGCTCACAGCAAGATTGAGCTCAGAGTGATTGGCACTTCAAACATTGCTCTGAGCCATTGGAATTTGGAGTACATCATGCTCAGAGCAAGATGATGCTCAGAGTGATTGGAGCTCTGAGCAAGCTGGAGCTTGGAGAAGATGGAGC